TCGGGACTCACGCTCTCACATATTAATCATTCTGAAATCTATTGACTGTCTTATCTCCTAATATTACAGGACCATCGACACTGTGGTCTGCCCGACAGGCTTCTCATTCCCAAGGGTAACGAGCACGGTTTGGACTTCGAATTGTGGGTGGCGGTCACAGACCACGACCGTGATGCAGTGAGTCTTCTCTAGGCATCAAGCACGCATTACATAATACCAAATTAGTCTTTATCATGTTCATTAATGAATGAACAAAAAGTAACGACTAGTCTGCCAAGTAAAATAGGTCCATACCCTTTTGGGGTATCGATTAACGGCAGCCTCAGAGTTGTCGGACCGTGGATAGCACGAGCCCACTGCCAATTTATGTCACTCTAGAAATCGATGAGGTCACGAGGAATTTCTCGGCAGGCAGTAGAGCTCAAAACCGCCGACGTTTCGCTGCCGACATCATGGAGAGCCCACATTCATTAATGCTCTATATTTTCAAGCTCATCCCCGCGCTGTGAGACTTCGCATCCCTAACCTCAACCTCCTTCCCAGGTGGAAGGTGTGGACATCCGCGACGACGACCACGGCGGATCCATGAGCTACTGCGGGATCCTCGGCCAGAAGTACCCGGACGCCAGGCCCATGGGCTTCCCCTTCGACCGGAAGATCGTGTGCGAGGACACCTTCCTCAGCTTCTCCAACATTCACAGGGTCGACGTCAAGATCCATCACCTTGATAAGCACGACCATGATGACCACGACCATGGGGACCATGACCATGACCACGGTCACTAATAGGCCTAAGTAGCACCCTTGTTCTTTCCCTTTCTTATCACGCATGCATGTATGATCCATGGAATAAAGAGTGACTGAAACCAAGAAAAATGAATTTAAAAAAAAGTGTCCAATCACCGATCATCCGGACAATCGCAGGTCTTCTCACGGTCCATTGCAAGGGTTCTCTCTCTAGGAAAGCTCTCTGACCTGGGCGAACTATTCAGGCGTATCAGTGCGGTATCATTGGGGTAACGAGCAAAACGAGCGCAACGTCTGGCACACTGAGTCAAAACTTGACTTGTAGGCATGAAATCGCCATTTTTAAGGACTCTGAGAAAGAGAGAAAAAATAATTTCAAATTAATATCTGGAATGGTGACCCTCCGAATTGGACCCGGAAATCATGACCCCGCATGACCTCAAGTCCGGAAACCCGAGTCTCGAGCCCCCAGCGAGATCCCATGCAATAATTGTCCAGATAAATTTATTCGGAGCAAGATCAACTTTCACAATGTTCATGCTTCAACAACTACTTTTTCACTATTTAGCAGGACTGACAATCCCATTCACTCAATTCTTTTCCGTAAAGGCCGGTAACGTGAAATTTCCAATAAATAAAAAATGTACGAATGAAAGGAAAAGCAAGTGGCCCCATGAGCAAAACCCATATTTCAATCTATGAGTAAATATTCGTCTCATATTTCGAATTAAGGCCATTGCTATTCAAATGATTCGTATGCAAACGATAATTTTTTCTCGACACTGATCGATTTCCGTGGAGGTCTCATTATTTTGTTATTATTCTCCCGCACTAAAAGAGGCGACTGGAACCCAGCAACGCATCTAAGAAAGCCTGAGAAACAGAAGAATAAATTCTCCGATGAGTAAAACCCGAGAAATCCCCTGTTCACGGAGAGAAAAAGCGCAGCCTGCAAGGCGGGCGATTCGGAGTTACCTCTGAGATGAGCGGGAAGAACGACCTTCCCGGCGCCTTCAGCGAGCAATCGAGTCATCATAAATATTTGATTTTTCTCGAGCGTGTGGATTGCGAAAGTGGGAGTAGCTCTCGTCTCGAACAAACCAATCGTTGAAATGATGTTAATATGTTGTTCAAAGGTGTTCAAAAGTGTTCAAATTCACGTCAGTTCTCTCGTCCCATTCCATTCCTCGCATGGATGACGTTAGATAATGGCATCCATCCTTTTCGCTTAATTCATTTCTGCTTGCTCTTCTTGGGTTCGACTCTTTTTCCGATTCCCCGTTTCTTCTCAGGTTTTCCTCGTTCCGTCTCTTCATGTATAAACTACCCATTTATTTGCATCTCTTCGTTGTGGTTGTTTTGCTGATCATCGCTACTTGAAGATTGCTGCGGCAGAGGCCCATTTCCGTGTCTTAAAATTTTATGAATCTGTAGCATTTTCTTCTTTTGCGACTGACAGCATCAAATGTTTATGAGAACAAATCCTGCAAGGAAAGTGGGCGCGTCGTCGTTTGCAGTCGCTAATTGCCTTCATTATACAGTATTTATTACTTTTGGGGATATTTTAGTCCTTGGCTCAATAAGTAGTTTCTATGGGGTTGATTGATGGCCTCAGACGATTACTCGCCATTAATCGCCCTCAGGGCTGGATTGGATAATCGATTTCTTGCGAAATTCGGTAATCGATTGCATCTCGGTGTCCCCTTATTGGCTTTAGGACCTAATTTTGACATAAGTCCCAAAATGAAAATTTTCTCTAATTGGCAAATTTGTGCTCCGAGAATGCAGAATATAGCCCTATTCCATTGGAAAGGGCTATATTCTGAGTTGGCCTCATAATCCGTATAGGAATATGTTCTGCCTTGGAAGTAACAGATGACTTTACAGTAGACTTAAACTTCCATGCTTCATCTCCTTTCGCCTTCCTTTCACCTTCTGACTAGCACATAAAGCATTGGAGAAATTTTAATTAGACTGATTTTGGAGGCAAAACAGTGACGTCGTCCCGGATGTCACAGATCCCGGCGCGTTTATTTAGCATGATAGATTATCTGGGATTATCTACACGATGTAGATGCAGGGGAGACGCCACCAGGTGGTTTCCGGGTGGTGATGAGGAGGAAGAGGAGGAAGAGGAATGAGAGGTGGATAAGACTGTCATGCGGTCCGACTAGCAAATGCTTTCCCTCGTTACCCTGGTTACCCTCGGTATCCTCGTTACCCTGGTTACCCTCGGTACCCTCGTTACCTTCGGATCTTCCGATGTTCACAACCGAACCTACTGTATCTGAGAATTAAACGGTTCTAATTGATTGATTGATACGATATCCCAATTGATTGATGCAATGTGTCGAAGGATGAGTGCAGAAACATTCTGCAGAATTGCTTTACATACGTGTGTATCCAAAAACATCGAATCGAAGTTAGGCACATATTTACAAAAAGAACTAGGAATATATGTAAATAATTTGGACTCTCGAGAATCGAAAAAATATTTAATTTGGTGAAATGTTGGTCTTTTCGATCATGCTCTTTTCAGCAATACAGATAAAAGCAGGAAGCAGGACACGAATGCAGATCCCAGCTTCAATGGTAACTACTCCATCTAAAATCCTTAAGCGAACGCGAGAGATAGGCGATGACTATAGAATTGCCAAAGAAGCTGTAGACGGTCTGGAGAGAAACTCATTTTTGTAACAAGAAAAGGGCTGTATTCAATGTCGAAGAGAATTTCAAAGCGTCAAATGTCAAAGGATAAAATGAAGTAAAGCAATGGCGAAGAAAACCAAATCAAAGTGCCTTTAATTTTTCTCATCGCCCAGAGCGCAGTCGTGTCTTTTTTAACTGCATGAGTAACAGTTATGAGTAACAGTTACTCATGAAGTAAATGATTAGAGAGCGCGTCGAAAGTACTTAAGTGTACTTAAGTCAACTAATAAATAACCTGAGTTGGACACGCAAATGACACGGAGAAGTCCATTCTGGACGCCGCATCGTAGAATGGTCAGAATCGTGCGGATAGATCCAAAAACAAAATCGAGAGATTCGGAGTTGCTGGAATCGCCTGCGAGCGCAACGCGTCAGTCCCGTCAAATCACCATCCTCCACGCAAAGAAATCATATCGGATCTGCGGTGACGACTGGAGAACTTCAACGGTCGAGACGGCGCGAAGAAGGAGAGAGAAAGTCCCGAATGCCAATGAGGGGAGGACGGGATGGCCATCGCGTAATGTTGAGCGAGGCCAGTGATGGGGGAGGCGTCATCCCGGTGATGGAGGTTCTTCGCCTTTTCTACTCCTTTGCATGAGAGCAATAGAAATGAACTGAAACTGAGTTTTATGAAGTCGCAGTGATGGGCTTCCGGAATATCAAGGACTACAAGGGATTTTCCTTTTCGTCATTCTGTCATATACGCAAAGGATTGTCATCTATGAAGAAAGCAATGGTCTATTAGAACTAAAATGGACTTGTTAGTGCTTAATTGACCCTTAAAATGCTCGGGTGTTAGCTATTGGCTCGGAGTTGGCTGAGATCAAGGGCGGCAATTCGAGCGACTCTGATGAGTCGTCCGCGGAAACAAGTCGAAAAATGCAAACAATACGATTAAGTTCTACGGCAACATGAATTTAAAAATCCTATCTAAACGCCCATGTGATCTTGCGACCGAAACGCCAATATGTATCATTGCAGACCGAGGCTTTCGCCGAATTATTCTGTCCTGCACGGCTGCAGTACGCGTGAGGAATAAGGCCTTGCTTGTGGATTTTGTCGTGCTTAGAGACCGAAGAACCCTTGTCATTTCCTGGTCAATGGCTTACAGAAGGCAGTCTCGTCTTTAGATTGCATACTCCCTCGCGTTTTGCCACGGACGCAAGGATGATCGATCCGATTCCAATATTTGAAAAAAAAAAGGGTCTTCCGCCAGCTGGAATTGAGGCATTCTGACGACAGCAGGACATCAGAAGAGAGACGAGGGATCAGATGGAAACGAAAATTTCCGATTTCAGAGTTATACGAGTTCTACCCAACCATTCATCGTTCCTAACTTGGCTGGGCCGTTGTCCAAGTTTCCTTTGCGATTGGCTGCCCTTCATGAAGCAAGTGGCCTCGTTGAACGCATTTTATCCTCAAAAATTGCTCTCTTTCCAATGTTCCGCCATTTTAAAAGCAAAAAAACGTGAGGCTAACCATGACCTTTTACTGTCATTAGTTCAAAGTATCTGCTGTCCCACACTTGCATAAAACTGTTCAATGGAGACAGATCGGCAGATTCATGCCACATACGGCACCAAAATCATCCTGCGCAATTCAAAACCGATCGTGTTACATGTGAGGGCTTCAAATAAATGTATATCATTCTCGCGCGGCCAGATCGATAGTGATATGACGCTAGCACGTCGTCTTCACATCCGACAATTACGCGAAAGGCCAAATGCCACAAGAAGTGGAACGTTTATTCAGTAGAACATCTCAGACCTCAAAGGGAGAGGAGGTGCCTTCAGGAGGTGGCGAGGAGGAAGAGGAAGGGGAGGCGAGTGGAGGTCATCGCGAAGGCCGCCGAGGTGCAATCGGTCCGCTTGCAGTAGCAAATCTTCTCCCCATTGGAAGTCGAAAAGCACTCTTCTTTTTTCCACTCTTCGCAAATGGTACTGTTGAGGGCTCCTGCGGGTTCAAACATTCAAACATTCAAACATTCTATGCTGCTGATAGGAGAGGGATCGGATTTCCCATGGCTGATGTGCCGAATAACACCATCAAATAATATCGACGTTTCCGTTAGTCTTGCTTGCGAATCCTCTCATCGCGCCGCTCTATCGGTACCGTCTCTAAATTCACTCGATATTTCCCAACAAATCTCTATTAGAGACCATCACCCAATGCACAGGCGCACAGAGGGGGTAGCGGGGTCAGCCGCAAAAGGCGTCTAGTCCTCGAGAGAATTCATTCGCTTCCTTCCTCGTGAGAGAGGACGGATCCAGCAACAATTCTTAATTTCGTTTTAACTCCACCCTGAGGAAGAGCTGGATGGGGCGGGGGGTGGGGGCATCGCAGACAAGTTCTACCTATCTCACGCTAAATGTAACAATTTCTGTCGCCAACAGTTGTGCTGTTGGGCGAACAGTGAAACCGGTC